TCCGGCTTTGACAACGACTTGCTGAAGTACGCTGTCACAATCTCTTGATCACCATTCCGTTGAGACAACACACCGCCAAGTCCTATATCACTTGCGTCTGTGTCAACTATGAATTCCTTGCCCGCATCAGGGTACCCCAAAATAGGTGTTTTGCACAGACGGTTCTTGAGCTCCTGGAATGCAATATCGCAACTTTCATCCCAGCAGAATTGTCGCTTCTCCTCGGTTAGCTTGTGCAGAGGTTTGGCTATATCTGCAAAGTTCTTCACAAATCGTCGATAATAAGAGCACAAACCCAAAAATGCTCTAACCTGTGTCTTGTCTTTTGGGACCGGCCACTCCTTGACAGCAGCAATTTTCTCTGGATCCGTGCGGATACCTTCTTCCGACACTACATACCCCAAAAACCTAACTTGCCGTTTGAATAGTGAGCACTTCTTTGGACTCAACTTCAGGTTGGCACTCTGGATCTTCATGAGCACGCGTTCCAGGTTTTGAAGGTGTTCCTCAAACGTACGGCCTACGATGATGATGTCATCCAAATAGACGAGACAGGCATCTCCAATTAGCCCGGTAAGTACAAGCTCCATCAACCTTTCAAACGTTGCTGGAGCATTGCACAATCCAAACGGCATGACTTTAAATTGCCACAGGCCCTTTCCTGTGGAGAATGCAGTTTTCTCCTTGTCCTTAGGGTCAATTTCAACCTGCCAGTAGCCACTTTTCAGATCCAGCGTACTAAACCACTTTACGCCTGTAAGCATGTCCAGCGTGTCATCAATTCTTGGCAAGCGATAGCTGTCCTTCTTTGTAACATCGTTCAGGCGGCGGTAGTCAACACAAAACCGCATGCTGCCGTCCTTCTTCTTTACCAGCACCACAGGTGAACACCATGGACTAGATGAAGGTTCAATAACACCATCCTTCACCATTCCCTCAATCATGGTTTCCACTTCCTTTTCACGTGCTACAGGCAATCTTCTTGGCCGGTGACGAATAGGCAATTCTTGTCCTGTGTTTATTTTGTGTTGAACTAAGCCAGTCTTACCTATGTCAGCTTCGTTTGACGAGAAAACATTGGCGTACTTGAGTAACAACTTCTTCGCTTTGACCGTTTCATTCGGGGAGAGAACGCTGCGACAGTCTTCTAAAAGTGTGGTCACTCTAGTCTGTCCATCCTTGCTGGGGGGTCCCAGTCGATAGATATTCGCACCGATGCAACCAATCCACTTCCTCACTAGTACCAACCAATGTGCCTTTTTCTATAATCTGTTCCTGATCACAAAGGTTCAGCATACGTACTCCTGAGATGTCGGTGGTTCTGACCAAGGTTCGAGCCACTTTCCATGGAAGGTCATTGTCTACCCTTTCCACGAGTACACAACGAAGAGTTTGCCCAGGATTCCGTGGAAGTCTAACCGGCACAATCGTTTCCGATCTCGGCGGAAGAACAATCTTCTTAAGGCTGTACACATTCCCTGGTAACGCCCCTTCCACGAAAAGTTCCTCTTGTCCACATTTCAAAACACCTTGCTTAACGTCGATCTCACAACAATTTTTTCTCATAAAGTCTAGGCCCAGGATGCAGTCGTCCATTATATCAGCCACGATGACATTATGCAGACAGATCATGTTGCCTAGCTTCAACTCCATCTCCTTCTCTCCACGGACGGGTATGCGCTGACCGGTGGCTGTCACCAAATTAATGCGTTCTCGGTTGTATGCGGAGTCCCCAAGAAACCGACTTATAAGTTGGGAACTGACAACCGTGCGAGAGGCTCCAGTGTCTATGGTCAGTTTACACGGCGTTCCGTTGACTTCGCCCTTGATGATTAGGCTGTTCCCATCATGGGTTTGTGAGATCGAAATCCTTGGGGCTCTTTTAACATCAGCCAGCACCCGCCCCGCAGTTCTGGCTTTTACTCGTTTCCCTGCTGCTGCTGGGCGGTGCTATTATCCGCACTACCCTCTCGAGATCGATCACCTTCCCTTTCTACAGTTCGTTTAGGGCAGCTGGATCAAAGATGGCCCCTTTCCCCACAGCCGTAGCACCTAGGGCTGTAGCCCTTATTGCGGTCCTGAACTGTAGCTGCTGCAACCTCCCTGACGCGGTGGGAACGATGATCCTGCCGCATGGCTTCCACCTCCAGTGCATGGGTCAAGGCGTCCTTAAGCGTCTCGTGGTACCCGAGCCTCACAGCAGCTCTGACTTCAAGGTCGCGGATGCCGTCGATGAATGTCTGCACCAGGTTCCCTAAAATGAGCGCAGGTACAGACTGGTACGCTTTTCGAACCAGCTTCTCCACCTCAAGCGCCCACTGCTGCAAGTTTTCGTTACTGCGTTGCACGCGATCTTTGAGCTGCGCACGAAAGACGTGTTCCAGGTGAGCATCGCCATATCTCGCCTCCAATGCCTCAAGGAGCTGCTCGAAAGTCACGTCCTTACCAAGAGCTTCCAGAACAGTTAAGGCCTGGTCGCGTAGGCCTAGGGTGAGAGCAGTCATGGCCTGACTTTTATTCCAGCCGTTCGCTTTCATGACAGCCTCGAACTGGATTTTGTAGGCCGACCAGGAAGAACTCCCGTCGAACGGCGGCACTTTGAATCCACGTAGCGAAGGTGTTGTAGCTACCACGGGACCTGTAACTCCTTCCCCAAGTTTGAGCTTGTCCAGCGTTTTCTTAACGTCAGCCATCACGTTGTCAACCCGATTGTACACTTGGTCGATTCGAGTTTCAGCTTCGGACAGGCGATTGTCATATCGTGCAACCTTATCCTTCACCTCCCTTATCTCTTTCCCAAAGGTAGCGTGAAGGTCCTTCATGAGAAGTATCTGCTCTTCCTTATCACGTTTGAGCTGCTCTTCCAACCGGCGGCCCTGTTCCTCCTGTCCACGCTGCAGCTGCTCTTCCAAACGACGGGCCTGTTCCTCCTGTCGGCGGGCTTGCTCCTGGAGCATCATCATCAGAGCACCTAAGTCAGGTGCTGCAGATGCAGGAGCTGCTGACGGCCCGGCCTCCTCGGTCGGCAGCTGGCCCTCCGACGTTTGCGGCGATGCATTACCAAATCGTCTCTGGTCCGTCTCCAGCTGGCGTTGACTTCGGGTACGGATACCCTCCATGTCGTCCTTTGGTAAAATCGGCATGATTTGATCCCACTTCTGACACCAATTGTTACGAGCTTGGGGTTCAAGATAATTAAAAACTGCCGAGTGAATTACCAAAATTGACTATATAATTACACAACACTAATTATAACTTAAAATCACACTAATAATAAAACACAGTTCGCCGTTATTTCGCTTCGAAGTATTCTCTTGTATCGCCAATTCAATACTGCCTTGGTCGTGGTCCATACCGGCCTTATATCGGGCCTCAGACAGTTTCCAGAACCTTCTACTGTAGCGACATCTAGAATGTTCGAGTACATATCGGTCCCGAAATTTCTGGAAGGATCTCGACTCTCCTAGTTCTGCTACTCGACACTAGAGGGCGCTAGTGTAACTAGTGTTGCCATGTACAAGACATTAATAGTGGCGCGCAACACTTTCTTTTACTCGACACTAGAGGGCGCTAGTGTAACTAGTGTTGCCATGTACAAGACATTAACAATATGTACCTAACTTAAAAATAAAAGTGCCACCATTCTCACCTGAGGATCCAGAACTTTGGTTCGCGCTTATTGAAGGTCAGTTTTCTAGGCATGACATCACTGATGATTCCATTAAGTTCACGGAAGTGACCAATCATTTGGATATTCAATACGCAAAAGCAGTGAAGGATATTATTGTCAATCCTCCAGCTCATAATCGATATGCCAAGATCAAGTCAGAGCTGATCAAACGTCTCTCAGCTTCCCATGAAAAGAAGGTGAAACAGTTGCTGACCCATGAAGAGCTAGGAGACAGGAAGCCATCACAATTTTTGAGGCACCTTCAGGATTTGGCTGGTCCTCCAGTTCCTGAGGACTTCATTAGGTCGATTTGGAGCAATCGCCTGCCACATAATATCCAGACTGTGCTGGCATCGCAGCCGACACATTCACTGGAGCAACTTGCGGACCTAGCTGATCGGATACAGGAGCTGACGTCACCATGTAACATCGCTGCTACAACTTCCCGTGAGGTGCATATATCTCATCCGTCCGATGACATTGCAGAGTTGAAGAAGATGGTGCAGCAGCTTACACTGAAATTGGAAGAGCATACCCGTGCAGCATGCTGTTCTACCAGTCGTAGTCGTTCCAGAGCGCATGATCGTCATCGTTCTTCTTCGAGGCAGAGAAGTAGATCCAATTCCAGTTATCGCAAATACCCGATGTGCTGGTACCACGCAAAGTATGGAGCGCAGGCCCATAGGTGCTTGAAGCCCTGCGATTTTGGCAAGTCGGGAAACTTCGAGGGCAGTCGCTAATGGCGGCAGACGATTGCCCCGCCTCAACGGGTCGCCTTTTTGTAACCGATCGCAGCTCGAACACCCAGTTCTTGGTGGATACTGGCAGTGACCTTTGCGTCTACCCTCGTTCTGCACTTCGAGAGCGTCGAACCAAGACAGATTACCAATTGAGCGCCGCGAATGGATCGGTAATTGACACGTTTGGCTTTATAGAGCTTAATTTAAATTTAGGCTTAAGACGTAATTTTGCTTGGCGATTCATTATTGCTAATGTTACCAAACCCATTATAGGTGTTGACTTTCTTAGCTTTTATAATTTAATTGTAGATTGCCGCAATCAACGCCTTATTGACAATATTACTACATTGTCGTCAATTGCTTCTTTAGCTAAAGCTGATATCTCATCTATCAAGGTTTTGACAGGCGACACACGTTATCACAATCTTTTAAAGAAATTCCCAGAAATAACACGCCCTTCAGGCACGCTGGTGGTTCCAAAGCACAATACGGTACACTACATAAGGACTACACCAGGACCTCCCATATCATGTACACCCCGTAGGCTGGCACCTGATAAACTTAAAATCGCTAAACAGGAATTTGAGCTTATGATTAATGGCACCGCACGTCCTTCTAGAAGTCCCTGGGCCTCACCCTTGCATCTTGCGCCTAAGAAAAATAACGGCTGGCGCCCTTGTGGCGATTATCGAGTGCTTAATACACGGACTATTCCAGATCGTTATCCTATTAGGCACATACACGATTTTTCCCACAGCATCGCTGGTTGTACGGTCTTCTCCACCATCGATTTAATGAAGGCGTACAACCAAATCCCAGTTTTTGAGGAGGATATACAAAAGACCGCTATTACTACACCCTTTGGGTTGTTTGAATTTCCCTTTATGAACTTCGGCCTGAGGAACGGGAGCCAAACCTTCCAGAGATTTGTTGACGAGATGACGCGAGGTCTTGAGTTTTGTTATGCCTACTTGGATGATTTTTTGGTCTTCTCCAAGGACGAAACAGAACACGAAGCCCACCTTCATCAACTTTTCACTCGCATGAAGGAATATGGCGTTCTTGTCAACACATCGAAATGCGTCTTCGGCGCAAACGAGGTAACATTTTTAGGTTATCAAATTTCTGCATCTGGCACCAAACCTCTTGAATCCAAGGTCGAAGCCATAAAGAACTTTCCCGTGCCTAAAACGGTAAGGCAGCTTAGACGATTCCTAAGAATGCTCAATTTTTACAGACGCTTCCTACCTGAGTCAGCTTCAATTCAAGCCCATTTGAATGCACTTCTTGCCGGCTCTGTTAAGGCGTCTCATCCAGTGAATCTGACTGGTGACGCACTTTTAGCCTTTAACAGGTGCAAGCAAAGCCTTGCTGATGCTGCATTACTCGCACACCCGGATTGTCGGGCGGAACTGGCGCTAGTAACAGACGCGTCCGACCTGGCAATGGGTGCAGTTTTGCAGCAATTAAAATGTGGGGAATGGCAACCGTTAGCATTCTTCTCGCGGAAGTTGAGTCCCTCTCAACAAAAATATTCGCCTTACGACCGCGAGCTCTTAGCAATATACGAAAGCATCAAATACTTTCGTCATATGCTAGAGGCTAGACATTTCGTGGTGTTTACCGACCATAAGCCGCTCAGTTATGCTTTCAACGAAAGGAAAGCTAATTGTTCGCCTCGGCAATATCGTCACCTTGATTATATCTCGCAGTTTACGACCGACATTAGACATATATCGGGAAAAGACAATGTCGTCGCTGACCCATTGTCACGTGTCGAAGAACTGCAGATACCTATCGACTTAGACGTGCTTGCTTCGTCTCAAGCATCTGATCGAGAGCTGACTCAACTGCTGGGAGGTGAATCTTCACTCCGCCTGGAAAAGTTGAGAATTCCAAACTCTCAACTGCAGTGTCAACTCAACTTATTGTGACGTCAGCAAGTCACCTAGGCCTTTTGTTACCAAGCCGTTGAGGAGACAACTCTTTGGCAGTCTTCACAGCTTAAGCCATCCAGGCGCCAATGCTAGTGCGAAATTAGTAGCAGAGCGGTTTGTCTGGCCTGGCGTTCGTAAAGACTGTCGTGAGTGGTCTCGACAATGCTTGACGTGTCAGCGCGCTAAGGTTCATCGTCACATTTCGTCACCGTTAGGCACGTTTGATCTACCCCGCGCCCGATTTACTTTCGTTCACGTGAACATTATTGGCCCCCTCCCTGTTTCTCAGGGGTACCGCTATTGCTTGACTGCGGTGGATCGTTTCACACGATGGCCCGAAGTAATACCAATGGCAGACATAACAGCCGAGACAGTTGGAAAGGCATTAATATCGTGGATATCCAGATTTGGATGCCCAACCGATATTGTCACTGATCGTGGTCGACAGTTTGAATCGTCACTTTTCCAGTACCTTGGAAAGATGATTGGATTCAAGCATCGTAGAACAACCGCGTATCATCCATCTTGCAACGGCCTAGTGGAACGATTCCACCGTCAGTTAAAGGCAGCCATAATGTGCCACGCTGATAGCAATTGGGTAGACACGTTGCCTCTGATACTATTGGGCATTAGGAGCTCATTTAAGGAGGACCTTCGAACATCATCGGCCGAATTCTTCCAAGCCGCAGCTCCCGGCTCAATAGATATATCGGACTTTACCACCCAACTGCGGCAAATAACATCAAAGCTGCAACCCTCACCTGCTGCGCGTCACAATAAATTAAAGATTTTTATACACAAGGACTTATTTGCGTCAAGTCATGTATTTTTAAGAGACGATGCATTACGTGGCTCATTGCAGCCCCCTTACACTGGTCCGTACCAAGTATTAGAGCGTAATGCGAAAACATTCAAAATATTAATAAAGGGTAAAAGCGTCACGGTATCCATAGACCGTCTAAAACCGGCCTACATGCTGATTGACCCAGCTTCCAACCCTATCCCTAATCCCACTCTCACATCCGACCCCAATTTCGGTTCCTTCCTTGATCAATGTCCCAAAGAGCTTAATACTCCAGCTCAGGATGACGTCAGAAGGACGCGTTCAGGTCGCACAGTTCGATTTCCAGATTTTTATCACCCGTAGTGACGGTCTCTGGGGGGGAGTGATGTAGCGTACTTATTGTATATTATACGTACATATATATATATATATATATATAACGGGAATGAATAAAACTATGAAATTTTAATAATGAATTAAATAGTTTAAATAATATCAATTCTAATGTTTTATCTTAATTTCATTAATATTAATTTAGCCATAAAATTGCTTAAGAATTTAGGATTATTTATTATTGTTGTATTTCTTTTAATTAACCAATCAAAAGCCAGAGGATCATGGCTTGATTAATACGGTGATCATAACAACCAATCAGAGCGAGGTTAGCTGGTGAAACGCCTCGAGCGGAGTCGTGGTGCGACTGGATGATAACAAAGACAAAAGAGGATCGGATAGAATCGGCGTGGGGTACAGTTTTGTTTTGCTGTTTGGTGTGTGATGGTGTATGTCTGTGTCGCATTACGAACTCGCTGCTCTTTAATTAATTTTAATATTCATTAATAAAATTTTGTTAGTGTTATTTTCTGTAAAGTTTAATTTAAATTTAAATTAGTAAAAATATAAACACGTTCATTACTTGTGTTGTGTGTTGTGCCTGTATTTACCCAAAATGTCGCCCACAAGACCTGTTGATAATAATGGCTTCATTGAATGCGACTTTTCTTCGACATCAGAAGTGGGATCATTGCAAGCACGTAATTTATTTAGTGAACTTCGAGGGATGATAATGACCGATGGCTTATTTTATTCGAAGCGTAATACATACAGTAATAGTATCCAACTTCTCTTGGAGGCCTTACATCATAAACCACAAGATAATATCAAGGACTTTACGCGCCAGAATTTCATCCTTAAAATGAAGATGCTGATGCTCAAGCTTGATTAGCAACTGCAGATATCTGTATTACCGAGTACCAAATACAGGGAAGTCGATTGATAATTATTATTAGTAAAGCTATGTAAGGATCTGCTGCTACACAGGCTCATAGGCCCACAAGCTGCTTATCCTAATATGTTGTGGGCAGAATTTAAAGAAATTTTTTTTCGTCTCGATTTGATACGGTAGATACATGAGCAGTTATAATTTTTAAAATTTTCAATGGTAAACCGCATGATGGCGAATCACTTGCATCATACTCGGCCAGATTATTTTCTTTACTTACATATGTCTCGATGAACTAATTTTATTTTATTTAGATAGTATATTTTATGAACTATTGACTTTGAACTATTTTATTTAGCTGTATCTACAATTCTTGCCCATATTAGTCAAATTGAACCGCGCTTATAACGCAATATTATTACAGAAGAAATAAATAAGCGCTATAAAATGCAACGCAAATTGATGGCATTTTCTTATCGATAACGGACGGTTCAAGAAACAAATACGAACTGAGATACTTATATACCGGATATCAAACGCTCAGAATTTTCAAGTTTTGCAATGAAATGTTATGCTTGCGGAAAACTTGGTCACAGATAATATTTTAATTTTAATATTTATTTCAGTCGATCAAATGAGAAGACTAAACCTACCTCAATTTCCGATATTCTTTTAATAAAAGTGAAACAATGATCAAACATGTAATTAAGTGCTACACGTGTGGGTTCGGGGGCAGTGTGACCATCTTTAAAAGACAGATCCTGCCATACTTTGGTTAAAAACCTGTCAAATCCTGCCAAAATCTGTAATGAAAAATGCCTAAATACTGCCAACTTTATTTACCATTGTATTAAACTAAGAAAAGTCAAAATACACATATAAATGCTATATTTTTTAAATTAAAATTAAACATATCTTTCGTTGGTTCGAATGCAATGCAATCGCCATGCTTGTTTAACGTACAAGACAGACGCTAAATGTTTATTTATAAATCTGTTTCGTGTTTTTGTCTTAATTACATTTATTTTAGAGAATATTCTTTCGCATGTTGAATCCACTCATATTTTGTTGATGTTTAATAGTAGCGGCATGCTTCTTTAAGCGGACAGCCGGGGTGCCAATTTGCAATTACAGTACACATCTGGATCATCTTTAGCTTTGAGTTCCATGATGAAAATAAAAGATCTTGCTTCCACTTCGCCTATAGGCCCTTTCTTATTTTCGCTTCATCACTGCGACCTATAATTACTATCGTCCACGAAATATTATTAACAAGATTTCATGGTGATAATGAAATCTAATTCAATATCATACTAAAGTACGTCTCTTTTATGACTTATTGAAATATTAACCAACTCGTGTTAAGATTATCCAACTTTATACACAAGTTGTTTATTAAGTGTGATACAAGCATAATACGAGAAATCGAGAAATACAGGGAAATCCCCAACATGCTGGCTAAGTATCTAGGGTTGCCATTTTCGGCATTTTAAGTTGCCATAATGAAATATATTTTTAATACCCCAATACTGCCAAATACTGCCAGGTTTTATAAAATGTCAACCGATCATGCCACAGGCTAAAATAAGAGGCCAATCCTGCCAAAATGGCAGGAACCTGCCACATATGGTCACACTGTTCGGGGGTCACATGGCGTCGCGATGCTTAAAACATGATCGTCTGCAGGTAGTAGTATACAGCAACAGGCAACAACGTCGTCGAATGTGGAGAGGAGAGTTAATTTGTGCGGCTTGAAACCTGTACACAGTTTGGTGAGAAATTTCATTTTGTTATGATTCTGGAGCTGATCGTTCCCTTATTAGAGAAACTACAGCCAATAAATTGTCTGGCAAACTACAGCATGCTATAATCACCATTGTTGGTATAGGCAAGTCTCAAGTAATATGTAAATCACAATTTTTTTTTTAAATTGTAACTCTTTGCAGCTACACCGTAGAAATATTATTTCACATTATACCCAATAAATATTTGAATAATTATATTTTAATAGGACGTGATTTATTACGGCTATGTTTTATAGTAGAACTTTCATCCGACGATCTAACAGTTAAGAAGTCTAGCGTTGTTAATATTTGCGAAATAGGTAGGCCTGTGACTACATTTGATAATATCGACCCTGATGTTGACCATCGTTCTATTTATAATTTAAGGGAAATTCTTCATAGTTTTGTAAAGCCGTTTGTTGAGGAAACGCCTACTAGTAGAGTAAAAACGGGAGAATTAAAAATAACATTAGTAGATACTAATAAAATTGTGCAGAGGAGACCTTATCATTTAATTGTGAACGTGAAATTGTTTGTAATAAGTGTAATGAACTTTTTGTAGCAAGTGTGATTCATCCAAGCAAATCTCTTTTCTCGAATCCTATTTTGATAGTTAGGAAGCGTGATGGATCCGACCGCATATGTGTATACTATAGAGAACTTAATTCTAATAAATTTGGAAAGATTAGCGGTGGTGAATCCGGTCAAACATTTTCGACATTATTTGTACGCTAGATCATTTACAGTATGATTGTAACTCATTGAAGTCATCAAGAACTAAAGTTGATCTAACACCCAGGGTACATCGTTGGTGGACGTTTCTGTAAGCCTTTGATTTTGGGGTAGAATATAGAGAAGAAAAAAAAATATATTCCATGTCGATTTTCTTTCTAGAAACCATTTCCCAATACAGAACAAATTAATTGTAAATAATGAAGTTATAAAAAAAATATAGAGTAAAAATATATTAATATTGCTGGGCTGTCAACAAAATTGGTTGCAAATAGAGCAAAGGCTAGATGATCCCGAATGTAATTTTATGTAATTTTATATAATGTACTTTATTTATAAAATTTAAAACGATGACATATGTTTAGAAAGTAGTCGGATTTATGAAATACGATCAAATGTTCTGTACAGTAAAATTCAAAGAATAATCGAAATATGTGGCTTCCTATTGTACCTAAAACTTTTCGTTGGTCAGTTA